TTTAGCAGCAGAAAACGACCCCAGTTTACTATCTCGCAGTTTCTGAAGTTCGGGTGTCGAGGCTAAGCTTACCTAGAATCTGCCTAGGATCTCATAAGGCTAAATAAAGTCAGTTGTCACCCAGGCTTTATCTCTTCCCAAAGTTCAAGGGCTTCCTCTGTGCTCCCTGGCTATTGGAAGAACTTTCTTAGTGTGTGGTTGGAGTTCTGGGAATGAAGTCCTCACCTTCTTGCTGTCCTTGGCTCCTCAAGGTGGCCTGCCATTTCTGTCAGCGTGTACATCTGTTCCTCAAAGCCAACCAGAGAGTGCGAGCCACGCCTTCCAGTTCCTCAGGTGACTTGTGTCTCCGACCTCCAGCCCTCCTTCAGAAGTGCCCACCTGATTCGCTCAGGCACTCACACCCAAAGGGAGGGTTATTCAGGGCGTGCCTACCAGGGAGTGGTAATCTGGAGGACTATCTTAGAATCCTATCTAGAATCCTGCTTCCACCCTCCCCAATAGCATAGTACTATTTTCAGTATTAAATGGGCTAATATATGCAGAGAATGCGAAATGCTGGTTGGCACATGGGCCATGTGTCCATGACTGGAATTTCCATCGCCTAACTCCATGGCCAGTGCACTTTGGGGCCGATCCTGGTTTTCATCTTATCACAAGCTGACTTATCTCATGGTTAGGTTCCATCTTTCTGCCTCCTTCTCTGGAACAGAAGTGACTTGAGAGAGAAAGGACCATAGCCTCCTATGTGCCCTCCAAGATGGTCCCAACCCCTTCTGGTGGTCATGTCCCATATACTTCCCTCCTTGCATAATAGCATTAGCCTTGAAAATGAAGAGGATATTGCAGAAATAATAGAATGTGACTTCTGAAACTGGGTCATAAAAGAGAGTGTGGCTTTACCGTACGCTCTCCAGAATCATCATTCTGGGAACCAGCCTACCCTTCAGGGGGATGCCTCAGCTGTCCATGGAGAGCTAGGCACACATAGGGAAGAACTGAGACCTGCTGCCAGTAATCAGCACCATGTGAGGAAACCACCTTGGAAGTGGACCTTCTGGCCCCCACCAAGCTTTTAGATGCCTGAATCCCCAACCAACACTTTGACTGCAATCTCAAGACAGACCTCATGCCAGAATTACCCAACTAAGCCACTCCTGAATCCTTGGCCTACAGAAATGCTGAGAAATGAAAAGTGCGTATCGCTTGAAGCCACAGAGTCTTGCAGTAATTCTTTACATAGCAATAGATAATTCACATGGCCCTCAGAACCTATTTGCCAAGTTAGGAGAATACTGAACACATTAATAACTGGTGACACTTTCCCGTTACTGTGCTGGTCACTGTTGTGATACTTGGGACACAAAGATAAGCAAGGTAATTGCGGGGGTTTTATCCTGGGGGGCAGGAATTGCCTAATAGACATCCAAACAGACAGATGTAGAGGTAGTGGGGGATTCTAGGAGAAAATTAGTGCCAAGGATTGGGCAGAGAATAAAGGGAGAACCATCAGGGCACAGAAGTTGCCCACTGTGTTTATGTTCTTGCTACACAAGAACAGCCAGAGCGGGACTCTAGGGTGGAGTCACAAAGACCAGCAAGCACAACAGCCCTGACTCTGGAATCAACCAGAAGGACAGTCATGAGCTAATGAGGAATAGATGATGAATGAGTCATGGCCAATTAATAAATATTTGATTCCTTTTCCCCACAGCCCCGCCAGCATTTGTTGTTGGTTGATTTCTTGATGATAGCCACTTTCTGGGGTGAGATGGAATCTCAGTGTTGCTTTAATTTGCATCTTTTAAATGACCAGTGCTGTTGAACATTTTTCCATATACTTATTTGCCATTTGTAGTTTTTCATCTGAGAAACGTGTGTTCATCTCAGATGCCCATTTTTGGGTTGGATCTTTGAATCTGGGGGCCTTAATTTTTTTTTTAATTCTTTATATGTTCTAGATTGTCAATGCCAATGTACAACCACTGTGGAAATCAGTGTGGAGATTGCTCAAAAAACTAGCAGTAGAGGTCTCAGTCAACCCAGCTATTCCTCTTCTAGCAATTTTTCAGAAGAATTGAAAACATCGTTCCACAGTGATATATGTGCACACATGTTTATAGCAGCACAATTTATAATAGTTAAATCTTGGAAACAACCCAAATGCCCATCAACCAAGGAATAGATAAAAAAAGTTGTGGTATTTTTATATAATGAAGTACTACTCAGCTATAAAGAAAGATAAACTCAAGGCTTTTGTGGGGAAATGAATGCCACTAGAGACAATACTCATAAGTGCAATAAATCAGTCTTGCATGTGTAAACATCATATTGTCTCTCTAATGTAAGAAACTGAAAGTGTAAATAAGATCCAAAAGGTTCAATAGATACTGTGAATGGGAAAGAAAGTGCTCAAAAGAGAGAACTGGGATGGGAGAAAGGAGAAAAGTAGGAAGGGAAATACATACACACACACACACACACACACACACACGATAGCTAAGATAATTGTACTATTAATTTCTATTAGTTCATTGAAAGGAACCGTTAATGCTTACATTGCTTTTGATCAATTTTGCATGCCTGTGTCTAGTAATCTGAGCAACTACTTTGAAGAAAGCAATATGCAATATAATAACCATTGTTAATTTCCTGTCATCTTGTTTTGAAATTCTGTACCATTTTTATTGCTTTCTTTTCCCTTTAAAATAAATAAAAATGTATTTGAAGCCTCTGCAGCCTCTCGCTGACAAATTCTTTCAGTAGGAGGCGTTCTTTTGGCCAACTACTAGGCCAGCTATTAGGAGGAAGATTTACAAACTCAAACACCTATGGGTGCCAGGTAGATAAATGAGACAGGCAGGCTAAAATTAAGGCAACAGGGAGAGGTGGGGACTGGGACAAGCTGTCACCCACCAGAAGTGGATGCTGCTCAGGTCCAGCCTACAGCTGCCAGCAAGCAACCAGGCCCTGTGTCTTCAGAGCTTCTGAGAGCTCAAGAGAAGGGAGAGACCCAGATTTTCATGCGAAATCTGGTTTTTATTACATTGTTAGTAAAACTTCTAGACTGAGCACCAGCATAATGACATTCTTACATGGATGATGTTTTGCCCAAGAGCTGCTAACGGGTTTGCAAGGCATCCTGGAGAGATGTCCCCAGCTTCTTGGGACCTCAGCCTGGAATCTCCCAGCCTCCTTCCAGGCTCGGTGGAGGTTGGCTGAGTTAGCCAAGGGGGTCTGGGGAAAGTGGGAACTGTTAACAGCCCCTTTGATCCCCGCCCTCTCAATATCTGCTGGGTCCCTCATGCTGCCTGGAAACTTCAGGCTCACCCGTTGTCACTCAGATGTGACTTAGGACTTCTTTCTTGTCAGTAAGATGCCTGGGGGGAGTAAGAGTCACATTGCCAACGTCCCTACCTCCCCAGAACTTCACAGGCAGATACTCTTTGGTCTGGTCAGTCTGCATTCTCTGTTTTTCTGAGCTCTGCATCCAAAGCTTCCTTTGTTAGAACATTCCTACCCATGCTGGCCATTACAGTAGTCCTTCTTTTGGTCAGGCTATTTTCACTTGGGTTTTGTCACGAGAACTCTGAATGACCAAGGCAATAAATCATGTCCCAAAAATGGTGGGTGCTGGGGAAGATGAGACGTGGTTTGGAGCTGCATGAAGTCCTGCTCCTTGGGCAGGGCCAGCAACATTGCTTGTTAGAAATGCAGACTCTCAGAGCTGCTGGGTCCTACAGAGCAATGCAAAAATAGTCCAGGCAACTAATACACCCAGGACAGGCCTGGAGCACAAGGCAGACCACACTGGTGCACAGGCTATGGAGTGAGCCTTGCCAGCTGAAATCTGACCTCTCTGTGTCTCTACGTCCTTGTGAGAAAGACAGCACTAATGACGCCTCTACCTCTCAGAGGCCCAGTAGGATCTAATGACCCACCCCACGCAATCACATCACTCTCGCTCAATGCCGGGAACACAGCAAGCACTACTCCATGGGGCTGGCTCAGGACACGTGGTCCTGCAGACAACTGAGGACAGCGGGAAGGAGACTCCAAGAAGCAGAGATCATCTCCAGCCCTTGAGAGTCCCAGCAGCTGCAGGGGAGAATGAAGAGTCTGGGTCACCTCCTGAAGAACACCTGGACTTTGCATCAAGTTTGCACAGGGGAGGAGAAGGTCAAGGGCGTTCTAGGAAGGAAGGGCTTCCAGCCACCGTGCAGCATGCGCATGCACCAGGGATCGGGCTGGAGGGTGGGCTGGTGAATGGAATGAGGGCAGAGGCAGACCTGGTCCCTTTGTCTGGGAGAGAAAGCTGTCATGGGAAAGTAAGAGCAAGATGTTTCTGAGGGCTAGGCTTGGAAAGGGCTGCATGTAACAGGTGAAACATGCCAAAGGTCTTGCTTTTTAACTTGTACATAATAAGCAGTCCAGAGGGTGTTAAGCAAGGAAGTAAGACAATCAGATGATGAAAGAGTGGTGTGGAAATCCACGTCCTCTCATCTGTCATCGGTGAGTGTGTACGTGGATGTGTCTCAAGAAGACAGACTTCTACATGTTCACATCCATTACCCTCAAGGGCTGGGATTCCTCAGATATGTTATTGTCTTCTGTTTGCTCTAGCTTTTCGAGAATGAACACACACTGCTTACATAATTCCAAAAAGCAATAAACGCCGTGAATAATTAATACGCTCCCTCTTTAGGATTTGCATTGGATGGATGAGATTTCAGCCCAGTTATTTCAAACATTTGCTGAATGGTTAACTCAGAAAGGTACCAGGGAAAAACACACAGACAATGGAGTCCTGCAGGGTGGGTTTGTGGGGAATGAAGTCAGCCCTTTAATCATGGGAATTACAGGTCCTGCACAATGGAGCCCTCTCTAGAGCACAGAGAAGCCCCTCAAATCCCGTGTGGAGTCCTTGGAGTTGAACTAGGTCCAGTTTACACTTCCTGCCCCAGGGCATGTGTGGAAAGGGTGGAGGGGACCACACATCCTACCTTTTGGGATTGATCCTCAGTTTTTTCTGCTTGCTGTTCCCACGAGTCATCTTCGCCCTCCTGCAAGACAGGCCTTTCTTCCATTCTGGGTCCCGTATCTGGTCCTGGGACCTCATCCCTGAGACTCTCAGGCAGGAGAGCTGAAAACAGCAGGCATGTTACCAGTGTACTGCTCAACCCCTTGTTGCAGGCACAACCACAAAGCGCTCTCTCTCTCTCTGTAGACAGGGTGCCCATCTGTAGGACTCAGGCAAGAAAATGCTGCAGTGACAAAGGACCTGTGTCCATACGGGCTCCAGCTAGGTGCTTGCAGAATGTACCTGCACAGAACTTTCTGGAACTCAGCCTGGGCTGGCTCCCAGAGGAAAGGCCAGACCCAAAGGCCTCAGGAACACCAGCGTTCATGTCACTCTCCCTGTCCTGTGTTTGGAGGAAGGTGGTCTGAAAGCTGGACTTGGGTCTCCCCTCTCAGTCCCACCACTTTCTGGATGAAGAAAGTACTACAGCACCCTCAGGCTATACCTGAAGAAAAGCAAGGCAGCTTGCCAGGTTCCAGCTCTAGACACCTGTCATTGATCATGGGGTTAAATTAGAACTGAGGCTTCCAGACTCTTCTTAGTGACCCTGGAGCAAGCAGAACTGGGCAGGATTAAGTCCTCAAGGCATGGAAGGCTCATTCTCAAGATGGAGCCATGCACCTATCATTTCATCACCAAGTAAGAACTCCCATGAGCACTTGCTACCATTCCTTGTTTGCCACTGTCCCTGAGAAACTCAATAGTACCTTTGGGTCTGATGATAGTAACTATTTTCCAGCCTGGTATAATGACTGTCTCCTTTTAAGAGTTTTATGTTGTTTTGCTTTATTTGGTTTTGTCTTTTGGTCTATCACTCAATAAAAGTCTTTGCTTCTGTTACTGGGAAGCTCAAAATTAACCTTATGTGGCATTATGAACAGTATCTCACCCAGCAACTATGGTACAGCAATTCTTTACTCTGAAACTTACTTTTCCATGACTTTCTTTTGTGTGTGTTTAAAGCCTTTCTTCTTTCCCTCCCTAGGTGTGGAGCCCTAGCCTGCCTTGGGAGGAGGCTGAGAAGACAGAACAGACAGCAGCTGCTGCAAGGGGAGGCTTCACGCACACTCTCTCAGGCCCACACTGACAGAGCTGGTGTTACCTGGGGCGTCTGTGCTGGCCCTGTTCCTGCTCCTCCTCCTTGTCCTCCTCCTCGTCTTTCTCCGCTGGTACATCTTCCATCGTACAGGGGCGGGGCATCAGGACCTCCACCCGGAAGACTGCCGCCAAGGACGTGCAGAGCTGAGTACACAGAAGCAGCCTTCTCCTTCTGCTCCTGGGGCAGGGGCAGGCTGCGCCGCAGGCAACACCATGTGAGCTGGGGTTCAGCCTTCAGTGAGGGGAAGGGACTCTGGGCCCCACAGCTCCCTGGGGTCCCTAAATCGGGTGATAGGGACAGCGCTGGTTGGCCCAGGGGCAAGGGCTGTGGCCTTGTTTGGGTGGTGAGGAAGGAGCCAGGCTGGGTGGAGCAGCAGGGACTGACCTGCAAGGGAGGGTCTTCTGGGGCACCCAGGAGGCCCTGCAGTTCCCTGCTGGATGTCTGGAGCTTCAGGACACCCTCAGAGGTCACGGCCCTTGCTGATATGTTGCCTATGGAAGGGTGACAGGTGGCGTAGGTCTGACCCCGTTTGTCCTGAACTACAAGGGCGTCACATGTAGAGAGAGGTGGGAGAGAAGCTGTCTCCCCAGGGGCCCCAGTGGCTGAGCCAGGAGACTCCCTGGAAGCCAGGACGTGCGTGTCAGTCTCCTCTCGCTTTTCCCTTCCCACTTGAGTCTTGTTCTTTCCATCCCTTGACCTGGAGCAGCTGGGCTCCTCCAGGCTGCCATCCGCCTCACCTGGGACTGGGTCTGAGTGCTGGCCTTGTGTGGACAACAGGGGGACAGGCAGAGGGGAGGGGGTGTCTCCCGGAGGTAACCTGAGGAGGTACTTGGGAAGAAAGGTGCTGTCTACCGTAGCTGGGAAGGCGACAGGAGCCTGAGACTGGGTGACCAGCTGGGATTGCTGCCCAGGGTTCCCCATGGCATAGGACAGCATGGACTCCTTGTCCTCCAGCCCTGCCTGCCTTTGGGCAGCAGGAGCAGCCAAGAAGGTGCCAGAGGATGCCAAGTGATCAGCCACCTTCTTGGCATTCTCCTGTGGCACCCCTGCTGTCTCCCTGGGGTCACTGTCCTGCCTCTGGGAGGGCAGAGAGGCACCCTGAGCAGAGCCACCCGGGATCTCTGCTCCTTGGGGCCCTGGCTGCTCCGGGGGGCTTAGCCCTTCCACCTTCGGCTTCTTCCTTTCCGAAGGGAGTTTGTCCTCCGCAGGCCAGGGCTCCCCAGAGCCACCCCCAGGCCGTCTCAGCACGGCTGGAGCCCGTAGGCACGTCTCCTTCACACACCCACCTCCAGGAATGCCTCCTTCCAGCTGGAGGTCTGACACAGCTGGCCTGGGAGCCCCCAGGTCACCTTCGTGGATGGGCCCAGGTGCTGGGGGCAGCTGCAGCCTCAGTTCCAGCTGTTCATTTGGAGGAGGCAGAGGGCTTCTGTTGCCTGGACCAGGGGGGTCTCTGCTGCCAAGGGTGGGAGATGACACGGCCCTGGCCATCCTGTGCTGATCACTGCCTCCTGTGCTGGCCACTGTGCTCCCCTGCTTAGGGGACTCAGTCTCTAAAGAGCCCTCTGGAGCTGGCAGACATGCCCAAGGCCCTGGCTTGGTCTCTATAGAAATGTCACCAAGGATAGGTATCCCACTGTCATGATATGGGGCTGCACCTTTGGACCCCACTGCCTCTTTCTGTGGAGGAGGGTCCAGCTCTGTCCCCTGGCCTGCTTGTGCATCCTTGGCTTTCCGAGTTCCCTGATGGCCGGCTTTCATTTTCTGGTAGATTCTCCTGAATGTCTCATTGCCATACACCTGCCACTTGTCCTGGGAGAACATCTTCGACTTCCTCTGGCCGCACTTCTTACTGGCCGCTCTGCCCTTGTGGGCGGCTCCCTCTCCTGGGGTGATTCTCTTTCCATCCAGGTCCTCTGTGGGGGCCACTGGCTCTCCAGTGGGGGTACAGGGCACATCCTCCACAGCGGCCTGTCTCACCAGGGCCCGAGGGTGGCCGCTGGGGACATCTGCCAAGGTAAGCCCAGAGTGGCAACCTCGTTGGGCTGGGGCCAACCTGGGGCTCAGCGGCTTCTGAATCCTGGGGCCGGTGTCCTGCAGGTCTCGTGGCTCTGGCCATGTTCTGGAGGCCTCAACAAAGGGGAGTGAGTTACTCCTGGTGACAGGAACGTATTCCACAGAGGTGGAGAGCTGAGTGGGCACGGAGTGGAAGAAGAGGGGCCGTGCCTTGTCCAGAGCCGTGAAGGTGGAGCAGGCTGGGCTGAGGGCAGCCCTCCTGCGGCCAGGCTCTAGTGCCCGGATGTCAAAGTGGAAGGAGTCCTTGTAGGTGTAGGGCATGGGTAGGTCAATGCTGCCCTGCTTGGACAGGACGGTCTTGCGGGGCCGCACGTGGTCCAGCTGGGGGTCATCCACCACGGCCTGGTTGTGAGAGATGAGCTGGGCAATGCGCTCCTCCAGCCGCTTCTTCTCCAGCTCCACACTGGCCCCCGAGGCTGTGGGCTCAGCCCTGGTATGTCTAGGTCCTGGCCCTGCGCCTCCCTCGCCCTCGGACTCTGCACTGTGCTCCGACAAGCTGTGCAGGGGACTGGAGGGCAGTGGCGGCTGCTCCACGCTGTCCGAGCGAGACAAGTAGCCTGAGTCGGTGCTCTCACACTTCCTTAGCCGGCCCTCGGAAGCCTTGGCATCCCAGGGCTTCTCCGAGGATATCTCCTGCTGCCGCTGCAGGGAGGATGGCTTTGGTTCTGGCAGCTTCCGCCAGGGCAGTGTGCTGACCGGCGGGAGCCCAGGCGATGCCATCTGGGAGGAGTCCGTAGGGGCCTCTCTGCGGGCAGGTATGGACCCTAGGCGGGGAGCAACTTCTGCCTTCACATCCAGGTTCTTGACACCAAGGGACAGATGGGCACCTGGGGAAAGAGGCTTTCCATCACCTGTTCTCTGGCTCCAGCTTTCCTGCCTGTTGTCTGCTGAGGAGGGCTCTCCAGCCCTGTCCCCCTCCTCCGAGACACTGCTCCCACCCGCCTCAGACTCCAAAGACAGCCGGGAGTTGTTGAGGTGCGTCTGTGTCCTCCTGTGCTTATACAGGTTGCTCTGGGTCTTAAAGGCAATGCCACAGGTGGCACAGGGAAAGGGCCTCTCGCCCGTGTGGGACCGGATGTGCTTCTCCAAAACACTGGGCTTCAGGCAGTCACGGCCACAGTGCGGGCACAGGTACTTGCCAGCATTCCGCACCTTGCCTGGGCTGCCCAGCGTGGGCCCCAGACCCGGGGACAGGACAGGCAGGGTGCCCACAATGTTCACTGTCAGGGCTGGGGCTGCTGGCTTGCCAGCCTGGGTCGGCCCAGACCCTTCAGGCTGCAGCAGGGGGCTAAGGATGAAGGGCACACTGCCCCCGTCCAGACTGCCTGTCACCAGTGGGGCACGTGGCTGGAGGCTCCCAGGAGGCACTGTATGGTAGAGCGGGATGGGCAGAGCTTTCAGGATCATGGCAGGTGGCAGGCCCTGCTCCGGAGGCAGGATGATGGGCCCCAGGGTCAGACGAGGAGAGGCCTGCCCACTTGGGGCCCCCGGAGGGCCAGGTGTAGGAATTGTCTGGTCCCTGGCAGCTGGAGCAGGGCAGGTGGATTCTGGAGCCTCCATTCCACATCATCTGGACAGCCCAAGAGGTCAGGCAACCTGCAGGAGACAGCCACCGTTTACCATGGGTACCTCTTCTCTCCATCAGTGACTATTCCCCTGACCCTGCCAGCATTTCACACACCTTCAACCCCGACAACCATCCACAAGTACTCTTGTTCCCAAGTTAGGAAAGAGAAAACTGCAACTTGACCTGTCATGTGGCAGCTACATGGCAAATCAGGGTTCGTACCCAAGCCTCCTTGAAGCCTGCCTTCTACTTACTCAGTTCAAGATCTGTAAAATGGACAAGGAATCAGGCCCTTCTCACTCTGAGATTCTGAGTAGGAAAGAACAGTGAGAAATAGACCTCAGAGGAGGCTTGCCAGGTTTAGCAGACAAAAACACAGGATTCTCAGCTACATTTGACTTTGAGATAAACAATACATAGTTCTTTTGGTATAGTATGAGTATGTCCCAAATGTTGTGTGAGAATTACTTTTAGTGTAAGTATGTTCCAAATCTTGCATGGGTGATGCTAATATTAAAATATTGTACATGACTTATCTAAAATTCAAATGTAGCTGGAAACCCTATCTTTGATCTGGTGAAGCTCCCAGTTCATGGAGCACTTTCTCAGCTTCAAGCCAAGGCTTGGGTTCCTGGTTACAGGCAGAACTTCCAAAACCCCTTCAGACCCAGTTGGTACAGAATTGGTCACCAAGAAGCCAGAGAAGAATCTGAGCACATACTAGGAAGAGAGATAACTGGTCATAGTCTCTAAGTCACAAAAGGAAAGCCAGATACAGCAGTAAATGTCAGGCAGGCTGGCTCCTAAGAGGGTCCTTAGGCACCCATCCTCCTAGAGCTCCACAAGCAAACTTCAGCCATCCTCCAGCTCAGCTCCTTTAAGAAACCTGCGAATTCCAGCCCTTAGTGGCCACATCATCCAAGCAGGTTATGGTAGAAGCAGCAGCACAGTGGGGCGGGTTCACACCAAACAGCCTCCACAAAGCTAATTGTCAAATTTCCAGGAACTTTGCAAGCTGAGTGTTAAACACAGTCCTTGATTCAAAGTAAAATTACACTCACTTATAATTAAGTAAATTATAGTAAAATCAAAGCTACTGCAACTGGATATCTAGGTGTGAAAGAATGAAGCGGACCCCCTACCTCGTACCATACTCACTTTGAAATGGATAACAGACCTAAGCGAAAATTATAAAACTTTGAGAAAGACAAAAGATTAAATTTTGAATCAAACTTTGGATTTAGCAATGGATTCTAATAATGACTACGATACCAAAAGCCCAACCAGTAAAAGGAAAAAAATAGATACATTTGATTCAAAATTAAAAGTTTTATGCATCAAAAGACATCATCAAGAAAGTGAAAAGATGTAAAATAGGAGAAAATGTTTGCAAACCATATATCTAATATATCCAGAATGTATGAAGAACTCTTGTAATTCAAAACCAAAGAAGCAAACAACCCAGTTTTAAAATGAGTAAAGGATTTGAATAGACATTTCTCCAAGGAAGACAAACGATTCTGCCCAAAGCATATGAGAAGAAGCGCAATACTGTTAGTCACTGGGGGAATGTAAATCAAAATCACAATGTGATATGATTTCACACCCACTAGCACAGCCACAGTAATAATGATAAGCTGAAAATAATGAATATTAGTAAGGATTTGGAGAAAGTGAAACCTTAAACACTACTGATGGGGAAAAATGATGAAGCCACTCTGGAAAAACATTTTGGCAGTACCTCAAAAAGTTAAACCGGATATGCCCGTAATGCTACTACTGGTATAGCCTCAAATGAATCAGACAAATGGTATTCAGGCTTGTGCCCAAAAATGTGTTGAGAGTTGCTCTATCCAAAACAGTCAAAAGGTAGAAATGACACAATTGTCCATCACTGATGAAAAATTAATGAGTGGATTGATGAGTGGATAGCAAAGCACAGAGCAATCAGACAGTGAAGTACTATTCAGCCGTAAAAAGGAATATAGCACTAACACATGCTACGCAGGGATGAACCTTGACAATGTTATGCTGAGTGAAAGAAATCAGACCCAAAATGTTATATATTGTGTGATTCCATTTATATAAAAAATCTTGGAATAGGCAAATCTATACAAGTAAAAACCAGATTACAGCAGTTGCTAGAAGGTGGGAAAGAATGAGGAATGAACATTTAATTTGGGCTTTGGATTTCCTTAAGGATAATGAAAGTTTTGGAATGAGATAGAGGTGCTAATTGGCAAAAATGCCACTAAACTGTGTACTTTAAAATAGTCAAGACAGCCGGGGATATAGCTCAGTGGCACAGGGCTTACCTGGCAAACACGAGGTCCTGAGTTCAATTCCTGGTACCAAAAACAAAAAATAAAAATAAATAATAAAATAGTCAAAACAGTGAATTTCAAGTTCTGTGAGTTTTACCACCATATAGAAAGATACTGTCTCAATACGAAACACGAAATATGGTCTTTCTTGAGTGAAAGTATTCAAGGGGCAAAAGGTATTTTAGGCTTCTACAACCAAAGGCACACTATTCTGGGTGACTTTACCAACACATGTTCATTTCTCACAGTACTGGAGGCTGCAAGTCCAAAATCAAGGTACCAGCAGGTTCAGAGTCTAGTGACAGCCCCTTTCCTGGCTGTAGATGACACCTCGCTGCCTCCTTCTACCACAGAAGAGGCATAAAGCTCTCTGGAGCTCTCCGCCCTTTACAAGGGCACTAACCCTACCCATGAGGGCTCCTGCTCATGACCTAATCACCCCCAGTTCCAAACACCGTCATGCTGCAGGTGAGGATTTCAAGGAATGAATTTGACAGGGGCACACAAACATCGGTCCATAACAGATACTAAATACTCCCTGAGATCTCACCCCTCTCAGTGCTCTGTGGTGGCCTTCACTGATGGTGTCTACATGGTGGGATATTACAAATGGCGTGAGATTCCTCATCTCCCTCTCCTCTCAGCTTCAGGGTAGTGGCATGGCATTCACAGCTTGAAGTAGTAGGTGTATTGACACCACAGAAATTGGCAAATGCTGTGAATCAGTTTTCTTGCAGTTCTGAGAGCCGGTTTCAGTGTTGACCAAGACACCACTGAGTAGAGGAGAGGGCAAAGGCCATCGTCTCCATCGTCTGTCCCTCACACAAACCTCTGGCCAGCATCATCGATTTCACAGCACAGGTCATCTGCAAGAGCTCTTGGCCTCAAGAAATCTGAGAACTTACAGTTTTTGAAGAAAAGATCGACAGGCAGAAATCTCTAAAGAGAAATAGGTAGCTGCGAGAATTCATCAGAACTGACAGAAATGGAAGATGCAGAATCCCTTCAACTAGCTGAGGACCCTCGAGACAGACCCAGGGATGGCAGGCCTGACAACATTCCCTACTTCGCCATCTGACCAGCAGACAATCCTCAGACTTGGTTTCCTTGGCTCTAGGAACAGCATAATGAGGGCTGAGCTATTGGGAGGAGGAAATAATTTATGTGGTATGCCCAGCACAGGATAAGTGCCTCGTTTCTCTGAGTTTTCAATAACACGCCATAATATTTTGAACTATTAGCTAATGGTTCCTCCCCCACCCTATTTTCCTCCTACCCCTGTCTCTTCCCCCATCAGTCAAAGCAGCAGACTCCATTCGCTGCCTCTGGGAAGGGAGGTCTCAGGTTGGGTTCCCGGGAAGAGGATCCATTATATTTGGAAGGAGATCCTGGGAAACACTCAGAGGGGAGTGGGAAGGCCAGGTTGGAGGAAGCCGCAGGGTGTGCGTCATCCCACGGGCCTCCACCGTGGGCAACTGGAGCTCAGTCCCACCGAGATAGTGAGAGGTTACAAGCTGCTGCATCGGCTGCTCGTGGAACCCACACTCCAGCGTTTGCACCTGGCCACATGGGAGCTGGAGGGAGCTCTGGGGCCCCAACATGATGCTGCCTGCAGTGGCTCTGAAGCGGTGACCCCGGGGACCACGGGCAGGGTTTCTGTGAGAGGGCCTGTGGCAGAAGCAGAGTCAAGACCTCCAGCTCCCAGAATCCGAAGCTCTAAGGAAAGAAGTCTGAGCAATCTGAACAAGGTTTTTGAATCCTCAGGTTCTGACAGTCCCCAGGAGGAGAGCAGGTGGAAGGGTGGGAACCAGGAGAAAGAGGAGGGATGCTTTCCACCTCAGTCTCTCTGGAGAGTTGAGGATGAGATGACTGGGACTCCATTCCTGGGGAGTCTGAAGAGAGTGGGGTCCAGACAAAACATCCAAAGCCAAACCCAAGGCAGGGACAGAGGCAGTCCCTGAAGTTCTCCTGCCCCACAGCGAACATCAGAGCACCCCGAGGAGCCTGAGACTGACCAGAAAGTGGGTACTGCTGCCTGAGGGAGTCTCAGCAGAAACTTGATGGAGAGCCAAGGGCTCGCATTTAGTGCCCCTTGCAAACCTAAGCCCGTCGCTGGGCAGCGGTGTGGGAAGAAAAGGAGCAGAGAACTGGCTGTCCTGGGGTGGAAGGCTTGGGCTTCGAAGAAGAAAGTTCAGAGAAAGAGCATTAGGTCCCTAACACATGGATTGCCATATCCATTGGTTTTCTCTGCAGTCTGCTCTGTGACCATAGCAAACCCAGGCCTCTTAGTAATAGCTGATCCCTACAAGCACACAGCTTCCTTCAGGGGACGGCACTTTTTGTTGGAAAACCTCCATGGGCCACAGCTAATTTTGCTCTCTCTGAATCATGGAGGGGAAAATTGTATTGTCTCCATTGGATTGATGGGGAACCTAATGGACAGGGGCTAAGAAGACAGGGAAGGGTCCAGAATAACCATCTGGTCACCTGGACTCGGTGTCAAGGGCTCACCCTGCCACCATCCCAACACTCCACCACAAAGAGAACTTGATGGATTCTTTTATTCTGCCAGGCATGCTCACCAGCCCCCCCAGTCCTCCAGTCTGATCATATTCTTTGGTGCAAATGTGCAACTTTCTGAAGGAGAAGTGATCTGATAGATGGGAGAAATATGAAGGAAAGGAATGACAACTTCCAAAACATTATCACAAGCAACCTCTACGTGGGCCTGGGCAAAGAGAGAGTGTGGAAATGCCACAAACAGGTTCTACAAATTCATAGTCAACGTTCTAAAAGAAAGACCATGGAGAAATACACTGGATGTGTTAAATAGATTCACCCTTTCAGAAGGAGCTGGTTGTAGAGACACTGCATTTGCTACAAGTTCCCCAAACTTCATCCACCCCGTACCACCGTCACAGGCTCTGCCCCTGGGTGAAGACCACTGACACTCTGACTTCCTTTCACCCCTGCATATATTTGTTTTGCAGGAGTACCACTACTATTTTTTTAAAAGTAGTGAATGTTAGTACTACAGAATTCTGGGTTTGTTCTCCAAAGCTGGTACATGCATTGGACATATTTTAGTCTTTTACAATCCCATCACACCCATCTTCCTTTCCTCCAAGCTCCTGTTGATCTCTTTCCCCATCTCCAAAAGTTCATCTTCTGGTTTTCTCTCATTTCTCATTCATTTATTCACTCATTCATTTATACTATTATTTTGAAAGAGAATGGCTGGGCATGGTGGCACATGACTGTAATCCCAGCACTTGGGAGACTGAGGCAGGAGGATTGCTGGGAGTTCGAGACCACCCTGGACTACAAAGTGAGCTCAAGGCCAACCTGAACTGCATAGTGAGACCCTGTCTCAAAAAAAAAAAAAAAGGGTTGGGGATTTAGCTCAGCGGCAAAAGCGCCTGCCTGGCAAGCGCAAGGTCGTGAGTTCGGTTCCCGATACCGGAGAAAAAAACCGAAAAAAAAAAAAAAAAGGAATGTTATGGCTTGTATCTACATGTCCCCCAAAAGTCTCATCATGCTCATAGGTGGGGTTTTTCAGAGCTAGCTGGTTCTAGGGTGCATGGTACTGGGATTAAGGGTGTGCGATACTGGATTAGTTCACTAATTGGTTCTGGCTGTGGATAATGGGAAGGCCCACTCTGGCTGTGGTGGAACCACCCAAAAGGCTTGGAGTCTGGATGGGATGAAAAAGAAAGGGGGCTTGCTTTGCTCCTTCCTGCCTGCCCTGCCATGGACTGTTTCTCCTCTGTGATGCACCTCTGCCATCCACCCTGCACTGGAGCCAGCCGACTACAGACTGAAACCTCTGCAAACTATGAGCTGAAATGAACCTTTCATCCTTTAACTTATGGGTATTTGGGTATTGTGTCTCAGCAACAAAAAAAAGTAACTACAACAGGAATTATGAGCACAATAACGTGAAAGTACTTAATAACACTAAATGGTACATTTAAAATGGTTAAGAAAGTAAATTTTATGTTAAGTGTATTTCATCACAATTTTTTAAAAGTTTGGGGAAGAAGGGGTAGAAACCATCATTACACAATGAAATAATAACTTACATTTATACACCCAAAAAAACACACAGTGGTATATATAGCAGCTTTTTCATAATTGTGAAAACATGGAAGTGACAAAGATGTCCTTCATAAGCTGAATGGATAAACAAAGTTTGGTACTTCCAGACAATGGAGTATTATTGAGCAATAAAGAGAAATGAGCCGTCAAACCACAAAAAGATACAAAGGAATCTTAAAAGCATGTTGCTAAGTGAAAAAAGCCAAGCTGAAAAGTGTACTGTGTGACTCCAGTTTTGACATTCTACAAAAGACAAAACTATGAGATAGTAAAAAAGAATAAATAAGTGGTTGCCAGGGGGTAATGGGGAGGAAAAGTGAATAGGAAAAACATGGACAATCTTTAGGGCAGTGAAGCCATTTTGTATGACACTGCTATGGGGGATATACATCACCAAACACTTATCAAAATTCATAAAATGGACCACAAAAAGAGTGGACTCTTGCCAGGCATGATGGTGCATCCCTGCAATCCCAGCAGTCTGGAAGGCTGAGGCAGGAGGACTACAAGTTGAGCTCAGCCTGGCCAACTTAGTGACTTATCTGTCTCAAAAAATAAAAAGGGCTGAGGATGCAGCTCAGTAAAGGGCCCATGCTCAATCCCCAGTACCACACAAAAAAGTGGACCCTAATATAATGTATGGACTTCAGCTATGTACCAGTGCTCATTGATTGTAGCACATGTGCTACACTAACGCAAGACGTTAACAGCAGGAATACTGCATGGGAGAGGAGGTTAACATGGGGTACGAGAACCAGACACTTTTCCTTCTTCTTTAAAATAAACCCAAAACTGCTCTGAAAGTTTAAGCCTATGAGCTCTAAAGTCTTTTAAAAATCCAAACAATCTTTAAAAAGAAAGAAACATGCATAATAAGATGTTCATTCCCACCAGCAAAGAAATACAAGATAAGTACTAGGATG